ATGGAGCTGCAGAGCACACTCCACAAAAGCGCTCAATGAAAATTATGGAGCAATTAGAGATATATTAGCCAAAATATCTTCAGACTGTGATGAGAAAATGCAAACCAAACTCGAAGCAGCTGCATTGGTCACAAACTTGATAAACTGGGGACTGTAATAATGACTATGTTGTGGGACCAGGTACTGCATAGATTTAAGGCAACAAGTGACCAGCTCCAAAAAAGTGACATGGATTTAGCTACTGTTCTTGGCCTTTTACGCTCACTGCTTTCATATGTTGGTGCTCTACGAGAACAGTTTTCAGAGCTTGAAGAATCAGCACGCGCTGTCAGTGCCACACAAAACTACCAGTTTGACACTCAACATGTGAGAAAAATAAAGAGATTTGCAGATGAGTCAACAACGAAGTTGCTTTTACTGACAGTAGTCAAAGATTTAACATTATGTCATTATTGACAGACTTTGTACATGCTTATCCAAGCACGTTGAAGCCTACACAGATATGTATGACCTCTTTGGGGTTTTATTTGAGAGGGACTGATGACTGCGATGTGGAAAAGCTGCTAAGTTGAGCTCAACCTATCCAGCAGATCTGGACAGTTCCTTGTCAGATGAACTTATTCAGTTCAAGCACTTCGTGCAGAATGAGACTTCACCTGCACAGCTGCTGCAAGCTCTTCAGAGACATGGACTTAAGACAACATTTCCGAATGTTTACGTTGCACTAAGACTGTTTTTAACCTTGCCTGTGTCTAACTGTGAGGGTGAGAGGTCATTTTCTGTTTTGAAAAGGGTTAAAATGAGCCACAATGTCACAGACACGGCTCTCTGCACTTTCTCTTTTGGCCGTCGAACATGAACTTGTTAGTGGCCTTGATTTTGAAGATGTCATACACCAGTTCGCAGTCAAAGTCTAGAAAAAAGTCAATGAATGTTTGCTAAACAAAAGCATGTAAAATTTAAACATGCACTGCACTTCCCCTTATCAAGGGTTAAAACTGTATTTTTCCAGATTATGTAGCATTTATTTTGGTCTTGTTGTTTTGAGAGAAACTGACAGATTTCCAAATGTTGCACTAAAAATGTTTAAGTTTTTGTGATGTGACTTGTTGTAGTTTTGTTTTTTAAAATAAGTTAAAATGAGCTGAGAACCAAAATGGTTACTGATGTGTAATTTTATAGTTTTTTCTTTCCCCTTGTGATGCCAGCTCCATGAAAATCCTGTTAACTCTTTTATTGTTGTCGAGAGAAAACTGGCACATTTCAAAATGTTTGTTTTGCACTAATAATTTGATTGTCTTGTTGAATTCTGAGACAGGACGATTTTTGTTTAAAATGAGCTGAGGACCAAAATGGTTACTGATACAGCGTTTTATTTATTTTTGTTTCATTGTGATGCCAGCTCTATGTGAATACTGTGAATTGCTTGTTGTTGAGAGAAAACTGGCAGATTTCAAAATGTTTGATTTGCACTAATAAGTTGATTGTCTTCTTGAATTCTGAGGGGACAGTTTAAAATGAGCTGAGGACCAAAATGTTTCTGTGGACTTCCTCTGTGATGGCTCTATAAATTCAATACATTTGTGTTGGGGACGTGTTAAATAAACATCGGATGGTTTGAAAGTGGTTGGTTATTTTTTATTTAATTTTTTATTTTTGAAAATAGAGGACATTTTGCTCTCTCTCTATGTAGTGGGTCATTTGATGTGTTTTGTTTTCATAGCATCATATATGACTGAGTGTCCATAATCAGAATCAGATCAGAATCAGCTTTTTTGGCCAAGTATGTTGACACACACAAAGAATTTGTTTCGGCTGATGATGTCTCTCCAATAAACATACCGGTACATACAAAATACACAGTGTTGGAAGCACAATAGCATAAGACATAATAATAAATATTCTAGTATGTGGATTAGATGCAAGTAATACATACATTTTATGTACAGTAAGTGTGCGTGTGTGTTTGTGTGTGTGTGTTATAAAGGTAAAATGAGGAGGTTAGGCACTAATTAGCAGTTTTGATGTTTGGAATTGTTAATCAAGGAGATGGCCTAGAGGAAGAAGCTGTGTTTGGGTCTGGATGTTTTTGAGCATGAGGCTCTATAGCAAGAGGACATAGTGTGTTTATAGTTTTATGAGTATTTGTGCATTTGTACATCAAAATACACTTGATGACTGTTACAATTTGTAGTATTGAGTATATTTACTGTATATTACGTTAATTTATTCTGCATTTTGCCACATATTGGTGATCCTGGGGTCGTGATGACGGGGCCCTTGAATATTGTTGCCCAGGGTATGGCGAAGTGTTAATCTGGCCCTGTACCTAAGGAAAATGCATATATTGGCTGTATGGTTGAACATACTTTAACATGGAAGCCATTTATCCACTTGTAACTAGGTTGGTGAAATCCCAGTCACTTATTTAGAAGATGTCTACATAAATGAATACCCTCAAACAGATTACAGAGTAAAATGAATTTAATATTTTACTTTTATAATTTGTGGTGGTATAACCATACAGTTCTTCAATCATATCTACTTTTTGTAACAGCTGTGTCTAAAATGTTCCCCTGTAATCTCTCTAATTGTCCCAAATGAAATACAGCAATGCTTTTTATAACTATTTTCAGTGATTTTATAATGTTTATATGTTTTAAGAGTTGTTGCGGTTTTTTTTAAGATACTACCATGTTTTTGTACAGTTGTCACATTAGGTGGCGGTAGTGCGGCGTTGCTCTGCTTCAAAGCTTAGTGCAGACAGAAGAAGAAGAAGGTCAGGGGGAGGAGCTTATAGCTCCCCTAATGAGAAGTGCGGCGGCAGYGGCGTGGTATCATTTTTGTAGCTTTAGCAATCGGCTTTATTAACCTCTTACCAGAAAAAGAAACACATTTTCACTTTAATTGGCTGTATCTAACAGCGCATAATGGCCACGGGTAAGTCGAATTATTTTCATGTTGCTTTTTTTTTTTTTGTACAGTAAAACGAACGCCGCAGATTTTTTTTAAGGGTGCGTACCTCGAGGCCAAAGGAATGGCKCCGTCTATGTCATGGATATATGTCCTGATGCATCTCATGGATATATAGCGAATTTTTCATTCTACTATTTTGCGTTAATACTTAAATACTCCAGAATAATTGTTTGATCAATATGATTTATTGTATATCTTTTAAAGTGTTAGCAACATGTGAACATTAAATGTAAGGCCTTGCGACAGTTCACCCTCAGACATTGTTAGTTTGGGCAACGGACTTGAATGCGTCTTTTGTTTTATGCATGTTCGTTCGCATGGATAAGTGTTTGCATTGAAGCCAAGTCCACTTTCTCTATAAAAAGCACTGCCTAATAATGTTAAACACAATTAGTTTTTGCCTTAGTAAAAAATAACTAGAATAATCTCCAGTAAGTAGTCTACACCGGCGCTAAATCGAGCGCCATTTTGTTGTCTTTCTGGCGGCTGGCCTGTTTTTTATTTTATTTTTTATTTTCCTGAATCTGGCCTACTTTTTTGACCTACTTTTATTTCTCTCTTGTTAGCTGAGTCCAACATGAGCTGCTTTTAAACTGACCAACTTCATGCTAAAATTAATCCGCATTTTTTTTTTCCATTTTCAGATTCAGGCTACGGTGGCTCACAAGGGTAAAATTTTCACTATAAACTCAAACCTTTAATGTTCCTTTACAACTAAGAAAATACATTAATACAAATGAAAAGATGCAAATATTAAATAATTACTGTATTCTCAGTTTAAAATTCCACTGTATGTATCAGACTATTGTCTGTAAAGTGTGTTCATCATAATTCTGGTAAAATATTAATCTGCTCTGAAAATGTTTTTGTGTCTGTAGCTATGGGTCCTATGGAGGTCAGCAGGGTGGACAGGTGAGACATATCCACTTGCCTTTTGGATGCACATGTTTTACAACAGGATTTGTTCATGTATTCTAACTTGTGTATCTTTCTGATAGGGTTATGGACAAGGAAATACTGGTGGCCCTTATGGGGGACAGAATTACAGTGGTTATGGTCAGCAAGGTGCAGCTCAAGGTAGTATATATTTTATAGGTTTTAAACGACCAAATATCTAAAATGTTTGAGCCTTGTTTGATGTTGGGTCATTATTTTCACAGAAAACTTTGGCCAACCTCAGCAACAAAGCTACGGTGGTTATGGACAAGAAACATCTGGGTAAGTTGCACCAAAGTGTTTTTTTTTTTTATTTGTTTCATTTTAGATTTATTTGATATAAAACGTGTTTTACTGCAAGTTTAAAAATAAATCTAGGCTGTGTGACTAAATTTTGCTTCAATTTCATGAGCAATGTTTTAGATTTCCCCCTTTTTTTTACCACTTCAGTAGAAAGCAACACTAAATACCTGAATATTAGTATCTTAGCTTCTTCATCAGTGTTTTTTTTTTTTTCTTTTATTCCCATTTCTAAAACCAAGGTATGGCGACAAACCGTCCTACAGTCAGCCAGGAACTGGTTCTTCCTATGGTGGCCAGCCCCAAGGTGGGGACAGCTATGGGCAGCAAGGATCCTACGGTGGCCAGGGTGGAGGTGGCTATGGTGGTGGTGGTGGTGGTGGCCAGGGCAGCGGTAGCTATGGTGGAAGCCAGTCCCAAGGAGGTGGTACCTATGGACAACAAGGATCATACGGTGGACAGAGCAGCAGTGGATATGGYGCCGGGCAAGGGCAAGGTGGGGGCAGTGCTGGTGGTGGCAGCAGCAGCGGCGGCGGTGGCAGTGGCTATGGGAGATGGAGTGAAGGTACCTATAGGGAGATCTTTTGGTACATATGCTACATCTGTATGTAATTTGAGTGTTTGGTAAGTTAGTGTCTGCACATATTTACTTATTTTTTTGTTTCAGAACCAGGTGAAGGTGGTGGTGGTCAGGGTGGCCGGTTTGGGCGTGACAATGGAGACCGTTCAGAAGGAGGGGGTTTCAGAGGTCGTGGCCGTGGTGGAGGTGGCTATGATCGTGGCGGTTTCGACCGCAGCGGTGGATATGACCGAGGTGGTTATGACCGTGGTAGCAGAGGTGGACCTCCTGGTATGGGGTAAGTTGCACAGTGCCACTGCCCCCAAGGTACATCTGTAAATTCATATGTGTGAAGAAATTTGTGTCTAACACATTTAAGTTTCAAATGCAAAGAATCATGAAACGGATTTTCACTACTCATCAGATTTATGCTCCAGATCCCCAAACTGGTAATATATACATTTCTTCTTAAAGCTAAATGATACAAAGTTGTCACTACTCAGTGAGGTAACACTTGCCTATGTCTGCACGGTCACAAGTTCTGTTTATTTAATTCATTTTTTAATGGAGGTTTTTCCATTAAAAAAGGTTAATTCATGTTTCTGTTTACATGAACTAATGGCTCGATATAGTGGTGTGGTTTGATAGCTTGTTTGACCAACTGAAGGTCATGAGGATCTTAAAGTGAAGGAGACACAGGTCACTTGAGTGGTCTACAAAGCACCAGAGACCTGGATTTGCAACTGTAATATCTCAATTATCTTTGTCCAATATGAAACAAGTTGACAGTCTTGTTTTCTTTGACAATGTATGCGTTACTACAAAACAGAGAAATGGGTTATAACTTAATTCCACTGCATCGTGTGGCTCAACTCAATCTTCCACTTCAATCAGAATCTACTCAGGGTAGAATGATTCAAGTGTTTGAGTCATGGGGAGCTGCACGGACCGACTGCAAAACTTCTGTGTGAGGGCAGGTTAGTCTCTAAAAGGAACGCTTTGAAGGAAGATATGCAGAGCATTGGTGTGGGACATGAGGATGCTAGGGAGAGAGCAGGACGGAGGCATCTGTTACAAAGACCCCTGAAAGGGGCGGTCAGAACAAGTTATTGCACTAAAATTATCTTCATGGAGGTTAAAGACACCCCACAAAAGTCTTAACATTTAAACTTGGTAAATCACAGACTACAAACTTTAAAATGCCACCTGTATAGCTAAATCTAAAATGTATCCACAAATAAAACTCAACCTGGCTAAAAGGTAGTTTGAATTTGTCCTGCCAGGCAAATGTTGTCTGAGGTAAGAAGATATGGTACTTAATATTTAAAGAGGGGAAGCCTGAATGGAGTTGATCTTTACTTTGTTGTTGTAATGGAAATAAGTCTCTTTTAATCCTGCTTAACTAGTTTTCTACATTGTTCCCTGTCATGACCTGCAAAAGGTGCATTGCAGTTCAGAGAATTGTATGCAAAAATGCTGAACCACTTTTCCAAATAAGACTGAGCAGTAAAAAGGGTGTTGCTCTGTCCCACATGATCTAAAACAGCAATGGTATTGCTTTTAAGAACTAGCAATAAAAACTTTAGGCAAATAAAAGAATGCTCTTCCTGTATGATGACTTGGTGTTTCTGCTGTGTAGCATTTTCACAGTAGTGACACATGCTTAAAGAAAACTGCAGAGAGTGTATCCCCTCTCAACAACTGGCATAAATGGCAATTGTCACAATTCCCTCGCCACAAAACAGGAACTTGTCACGATGCACAATTTCACAACATTACTGTGGCCCTCAGCAGACACTAAGGGATATAAAACAGCTGAGCCTACAATGTTAGGTATCACCAGATCTTAAAAGAAAGTAATGGTTTGGCTGAAGCTGCTGGTAACATTAAAGAACAAGCAGCAGACCTGACCAGTTATCAGATATGGAACACACATTTTGGTTACATTCACACTGTAGGCAAATGCCACCCAAATCTGATTTATTTTTTATTTTGTCCTCATGGGACTGATGTCAAATGTTTTCAAATCCAACCCGGACCTTTTCAGTATGTGGTACTGAACATGTTTTTCAGAGTGACCACAGTCTGAATGCTTCTCACGTTTCATCTGACTTTAACATGGGGGAGGGTTTAGGGTTGGTCAATATTGGCAAAAAAATTAATCACGATTAATTGTGGTATTTAGCCGATAAAGATTAATTTGATAAATAATCCCCTGGAATAACTGGACACCCTTATGTCCTAGTCAAATGACCAATTTAGTGGGAAAGATTTGCTCTTTGTAAAAATCTGTTCCAAATTGTGTCAAAATTACAGACTTCAGGCTGAAAATCAAATTTTAAATTGTGTTGATTGATAATAAATTACAGAACTTTCTTTAATGTTCGTCATATTTGAAGAAGAAAAGAGCACCGAGTGGACTGACGGGAGAAATTAATTGATTGCACACGATACAATTAAGCCCAACCCTACATGGGGGAGAATCAATCCAGTAATAATGATACCATCCTTGAGTCATGCTGTTTAAATCTTGCAACTCTACACGGCTTCAGCTACAGAACAGAAGTCAAGTTGCTTCTTTTTTTTTTTTCCTCCTTCATGTCTTGAATGACTGAGACTCCACAGAATAAAATAATGTTAGCCTCAGGGGCATCAGTCTCGGACTGTTTTGATTCTAAATTTATTCAATCAGAATATTACTTCCAGTTTGTTGCTCCCGTTTCAAAAATAGGTGCTGTACTGGAGCAGCTAACCAGGCAGGTTAAAATGTAAATGGTGAATTAAACAAGCATGTCAGATAATTAATTGGCTTGATTGCACATCAACTTAGGAATTGACACGCTAACATGAAGCACCCATATTTAGCCTTCTTCTGTAAGACGGCATGCTAAACGTGATGTCACGTCATCTTCTGCACATGCGCTTCACATTATTGCTGTGGAGAGTTCACATTGTAGTCTGATGGAGGTCCTGTGAAAAACGTAAATGTTCATTAGGGGTGTAAATCACCAGCTTTATCACGATACGATCTTACATGGATATGTTTGGATGACGATTCAATATTTCTCGATCACAAAGTGTATCATATGATTTTGATTCATATTAATTCACGTCTGCGATCGATATAATGCAATATCATATGCCCATCTAACACAGTGACTGTTAGATGGGCATATATCGATTCACATCAAACATAGGATAACGATATTTCCATTTTGCCTCAATATAACTTCATATCGATAAAGATAGATGTGTTGTTACACCCCTAATGTCCATGCAGAAAAAATTGGATTTGAGCCTTAAGACCTGCAGTGTGAATGTAGCCTATGATCCTGTAAATATGAACGGTTTTGTTTTGTGATTCATTATCCATGAAAGTAGATCTAAATATGAAAACCCTTTTTAAAGTAGGTGGAATAGTAAGACACCAGAATATATTTTGGGGTGGACAGTAATGCTACTTACTAAGGTATAATTTAGGGGAAATTTTTAAAAGTATTACTAAATTGGATGCAGTCCAACCCTGTTACCAAGAAATCCATGCATATCTATGTTTCTGGAGCTTGACTTTAGTGTAAACACACAAACCAATGAGAACTGTTTATTTTTAGAGGATAGGATTATTTAGCTAGAATGTTATATTACATTTCTATCAGTTCTCCAGACAGGCACTTTTTTTTACCTTAAGTCATTAAAATGCATTCAGGTATTGTGTATTTGACAATGGTGAGCATGTATATTGTGTTAACATGGATCTACATTTTATACTACAGGTGTTCAGAGTGAGTGAACTAAAACTTGGACCTCGGTTAAAGGATCTTGTAGATGCAATCGGTGGAAGATTGCTCATTGGTTGCTGCTCCTTTTTGTCAATAATTTGGCTCAATTGAAATCCAATTCGGCTGTTTTTAATCACCATTTTGTATCCAATCTGGCCACCTGAAAACAAAATTACAAAGTTTTCTGTAAATAGTAACTCACTGACGTGACTGTCTTCACTCATCTGCCTGAATGTTCAGTCAGAACTTCCAAGTCGTCTGTTTATTGATCTGTACTGCCAAAGACTAACTCATTCCTCGTGTGAGACATTTCCACCGTAGTCGCACACCCTGGCAGGAATGCATACTGGTGGATGTAGGGGAGCTTTGAGCTCTCAGTTGGAACAAAGGAAAAGCCATCATATCTCCAATTTTTCCTCTGCAGAGGTGGTGACCGTGGTGGCTACAAAAATTTTGGTGGTAAGTGACGAGCATCAGAACTGTGTCGGTGGGGGAGGAGAAAAGAACATGAGTTAAGCAGAACAGAGGGTTAAAGGGGGGTTAAAAAATCTTCAATGAATGCCACCATTTCCATGTCCAAAATCATCTCAAGGAACTCCACCTAATGCTACTTCTCATAAATGACATCAGATATGGTAAAGAACTTGGAGTTGTAAAATAATGGTATTACTGCATGAAGGAAGGATGGTTGTAAATGACAAAGGTGTTCCCAGGACGGAGGAGGGACAACTCTTAAGTCATCTTGGTGGTTTTTATTTCTGGTATAGGCTCAAATGAAAAAAAGAGCATTTCTAATCATGTTGCAAGGTATTGGTATGTGATGCAACGGTACAAGAACTCAACATAAAGCTATAAACATAAGGTTTATTGAAGTTACTGTTAAAGATTGGTAGGGCTGCAGATGATTTGTGTGTGTAACTCTCCGGAGCCTTGAGAACCTCATTGTTTAAGTTTTGTCTTCTATCCTTTTCTGTCACTCAGGCTCTCGAGACTACGGCTCAAGGGATGACTCAGGTGGGACAGGCTCTAAACTTGACCTGAATTTGTGTCGTGTCAACTCTGATCTCTGTTTACAGTCATTGAAATGTTTTCCTTTTCCATTCGCAGGTGGAGAGCAGGACAACTCGGACAACAACACCATTTTTGTTCAAGGACTTGGAGAAGATGCCACAGTTCAGGAAGTTGGAGACTACTTTAAGCAAATTGGCATTATCAAGGTACACAATTGGTTTTAATGATGTTTTCTTTTGGCACTTGTTTGTGATATTACCTGACCACATAATATGTAACACAATATGTTTGTGTGCAAAATTCTTTGATCTGATTGAAATGTGGCATTGGAATCATTAGCTACGTTTACATAGACATAAGTAATCGGATTAAACAGCCATTCAGAATAAAAATGCATCATGTAAACACCCCGTTCGGATTATTCTGACCTGATTCAGCTCGATCTGAATGAATTTGTAATTGGAATGAGAGAGGTGGTTTATGCTGATTGATAATCTAAACAGTGTGCATGTAAACAATCTAATCATTTTATTCTGATTGTGGAAAACTGACCTGACCATGTCTGCTGACTCTTGTCCACTGGTTTCTGCTCTATTGTGGAGAGAGGAGATGCAGCACAGAACCTTTCCTCCTGTTCTCTCATTCAATAAAGAAGGAAGACGCACAACCTGCACCACTTCGCAAAAAAAAAAAAAAACAAACAAGCAAACACTAAAAAAAAAAAAAAAAGTCTGCGCATCACCTGCAGCTTAACCAGAGAGTGCAGTAATGTCTCCACCATTATTAAAATCTGTCGCAGGTCCATTCTGAGCTCAGAAGCTGTTTGTTTATCTTCATGACGAAAGTAGAACTTTTTTCTTTTTTTTCTTTTTTTCTTTTTTTTCCCTTTTTTTTTTCGGGAAAGTTAACAACTGCACATGTCAGTGCTTCTATTGAGAATAAAAGCCTGGTGCATGTAAACACTCACGATCGGTTTGTGCCCATGTAGTCGATGTTTTTCAGTTATTTAATCTGAGTACATTTCAGTCTGATCAAATAATTTTGTGCATGTAAACATGGCTACTGTTTTGTTTATATGGGCACAAATTCATTGATCATGATGAGCTTTTATATCCACCAGGCTTTTATTCAGAATAGAAGTACTGACGTACAGAGTTGTAAACTTTCCCTAAAACAAACGCAGAAGAACTACTTTCAGAATGAACAGAAATATTTTCTGAGCACCCAGAATGGACCTGCTGGAGACGTTATTGCATTCCCTGATTGAGCTACTGAGAGTTGGTCTTCCTGCCTTACCGGACGAGAAAGCAGGAGGAAATAAACATAACTAATTTTGCTTCTTTAACATATTGGCACCTAGCCAGGCAGAAATGCGTCTGGTTGACATAGGGTGCACATGTGCAGTCAGGTCAGTTCTCCACAGCCAGAATGACATGATCAGAATAGGTGTTTACATGCACATTGTTCAGATTATAAATCAACATAAACCACCCCTCTCATTCGGGTTACAAATTCATTTTGGTGGAGCTGAATTGGATCAGAATATTTCGATTGGGGCATTTATAAGCTGTTTTATTCTGATTACTTATGTCCATGTAAACATGACTATTAATTATGTGAATGTACTCGTTCTTTTTAGGTCAATAAGAAAACCGGCCAGCCTATGATCAATATTTACTCTGACAAAGCCACCGGCCGACCAAAAGGAGAAGCTACTGTATCGTTTGATGATCCTCCCTCAGCTAAGGCTGCTATTGACTGGTTTGATGGTAAGAGCGTTGACATTTTCCCCCCTCTGTTTATTTCTGTGTCTTGTTTTTTTATTATTATTTTTTCCACTTTAGGGAAGGAATTCAATGGCAAACCCATCAAAGTCTCGTTTGCCACCCGCAGAGCTGAGTTCACACAGAGGGGAGGCTTCAGAGGGGGACGAGGAGGTGGGTCGTCAGGATGTCACTCTGCCTAACTGATACATGAGGATATAAGGTACAGGTGTTGCTGTTCTGCTGCTCATCCACGTGGATGTGTTCAGGTTTCAGAGGCCGAGGTGGTGGAGGCGGCGGCGGAGGAGGACCCAACTTTGACGTTAAGGGAGGGGACTGGCCCTGCCCAAACAGGTCAGTCTTTTGATGATTGATAATAAGTTTATATACCTGAAATTATTTGTTACTAATAGATTTTCCTGTTTTTCCTCAGCTCTTGCGGCAACATGAATTTTGCAAGACGGCAGGAGTGCAACAAGTGTGGTGCACCTAAACCAGGAGACTCAGGATTTGGAGGTGGCAGTGGTGAGTTCTATTTTTTTATTGTATTTATTTAAGTTCAACTCAGTTTATTTATATAATGTTAAGTCACAACGCATTTACAAAATGCCATATACAAAAACCTAAACTTATAGCAGTAGAACTAAGGAATAACTCAGGAAACATAAGTCTAACTATAGGATTTATTAAAAAGGAAACTTTTTTTTTTAAGTCTAGCCTTAAAAGTAGACAGAGTGTCAGCCTCATGGACAGAAACTGGAAGTTGGTTCCACAAGACAGGAGCTTGATAACTGTAAGCTCTGCTTCCCATTCTACTTTAAAAAAAACTCTAGGAACCACAAATAAAACTGCAGCCTGAGAGCAAAGTGCTCTGATGGGGAAATATGGAACAATAAGATTTTAATGTAAAATGGCAACATTTTTCAGGTTTATTGTACAAACGTTGACATCGTTTTGTTGCCGTTGCAGATCGAGGAGGCAGAGGTGGATTTGGCGGCGATCGAGGTGGTGGTTTCAGAGGCCGTGGAGGTTTCCGTGGTGGAGATCGCGGTGGCTATGGAGGTGGCGGCGGCGGCAGTGGTGGTGGAGGATTTGGTGGTGGTGGTGGCTACAAAATGGGAGGAAGGTTGGTTGATGTTTCCTGATTTTTAATTTTATTTTATTACTTAAAAATTTTTTTTCTTCTGCATTCATAAGAAGACTGCATCATTTCTGCCAAAGTGATTTAGTTACACCACCAGAAGGGGGCGTCACCGTCCTGAGAAGGATCTGATCTGCCCAAGTGTTAAAAAGTATTCTGTGTATATATGTATTCACAGCATCACCCATTTTATGTCTGCAAGAACTTTTAATTAAAATCTTATGGTGGTGTTTTCTCAAAAGTTTTTGAACAATGTTTAATTTAAGGACATATTTCTTGTTTTCTGTAGTTAGTCATGTCATAGGTGAAGAAATACTGTCTGAAAATATGAAGACCAAGGGGAGATTTGCATTTCTTTTTCTCATTTGACCTTCATCACATTTCATAGGAAATGATGTCATGTCTGACATTTGAACACCGTCTCCTGTTTAACTTTGTGGGGTGTTATTGGAGGTCTTCCTTCATTGGACAGTGGCTCATTATCCTTAGGGAAATTCTGAAATGCAGAGATTCATTTCACCTTCATTTGTGCAGCTGCTGGTTCAGTAACATGAACAAATGATGTTTTAAAAATACCACACGTGCTCCTTTTGTGTCTCCTCAGGGGTGAGCGCAGAGACGACAGAAGAGATCGGCCATATTAAACCTCGAGCCAAGACGAACCATTCCAGCCCTGGAGTTCGCTGTGTGGGGGGGTTAGGGTTATCTTTAGAAAGCAAAAGAGGGAGAGAGATGTTTGAAACATTACATGTCTGCTTCTGTAGTTTGTTCATCTTGAGTATTATTGTTTGTTTGTGAGCGAGGGATTCATTGAGCTAATGTGAAGGGGCTGATGGGCACTGTTGACATGTCAGACTTTAGTTTTTCCTCTTCCTTTCTGTGTACATTTTAATTTTTTTCTTTCTGAAACTAGATTCAGGTGGTTTGAGGTAGACATTGATTGACCCATTGTTTTGTATAAATGGAATAAAACATTTTACTTATGTTCTCTTTTTGTGTGTTTTTATTCAAATTTTTAWTGAAATACTGTTTCCCTGTTATGTACAATTGTTCAAATGTTGCTAGAAAAAAAAAAACGGATTATGATCTCCACTCCTTAGAGCAGCAAGAATGTACAGTGGTGCGAATCTGCTGGTATTTTGCCTTGAAGCATCGGAACAGGCTCTGACAGAGGGGGCGGTGCTGGCCTTCCTCCTCCTCCTCTGAATAAGTTCAGTCCTGACAGGGATGGAGTCAGCTGTGTCCTCTGCTGCTGACAGAGGACTTCCAGCCATGAAGAGAGGAGCGGCAGCTGTGCAGGGATGTGTGGTGGTGTGACGGCGTGTTCAGCCGGGAACGAGCCGCCCACCTCCGGGGGGGACATGAGAGTCTGGATCCTGGCTGTGATCGTGCTGCTCACCGCTCACAGCACCCGGGGATCCCCGCTGCATCTGGACCCAGAGGTACGTTACTCAGAACTGCTTCATGATTATAAACTGATTTTTAATCAGGAGTAAAGCTCCATGTTTGTCAGCAGYGAGGATTTAATGTAAAGAATCAGATTACAGATTAATTTTCTGTTAAAACTAAACATGATGGAAATAACCTGAACCTCCTAAATAAGGACAACCTTCTAAGTTTAGAGCCCAAACATTAATGTTACCATTATTTCCAAAGAAATGTAAGGCCACATCACTGGTTCAGTACACTTAATAAATGACTGAGCTTTAATTGTAAATATTCATGTCTTTAGTGTTTCTGTTTTATGTATTTTTGTCATCTTGTGCAGACAAATATGGATGATTCTGATTTTGTYCGACATCCAGTTTCATTTATATCAGGTCAAGTAGCAGGTGCATTGTTTGTCCCAGGATTTAAACTGTAGTTGCCTGTTATTTTGCTCATCGAATCTCACTATATGTTGATATTGATTGTCATTTTTCTTACTAATTTTCTATATATTTTCTTGAAACACTTCAGAATATTTTGTTCTATGTAAAGGTAGGTTTTCTCTTTTTTTATTTTAGATAATTCGAGAAACCATGCAAATCCTGTAGTCTGTCTGATTAGAGAGGTAAAGGGACAAGATTTTCCTCACAATTTCAGATGCTCTGGCATGTTTCTGTGCTTTACACTTAAAATACTGCACAGCTCTGCTTTGTGTCACTAGAAWCCTAGACATTAATGTACATGTAAACTGGTACCATAGTAAACTTTGACAGGRCCCCAAAAGTAGCTCTAACCCAGCCCTACAGGCCCTCGTTCTTCTTGCTCAGATCTAGTACTAATGTAGWGAACCATGGTGTTATTTCTGATTGTGACAAGGGCTAATCCTAACCCAAAACTGCTTTCTTCCACTTGCACAGTATTAAAGTTAGAAATATTTTATCTTGAAATGATGCAAAAACAACTAAACAGGACGTTTATGGCAGGACTATTCAACTAAATTGCTCCAGGGGCCACAGTTAATGTGGGCTAACAGCTTAGGGGCCGAACATCCAGCAATTAAAGTCATTATGTAATTAATTTCAGTATTACAAATATCTGTTACCTTTGAAATAATTTATTTTGCTGCATTTAATCATAGACACAACATACAGAACCCTATGTAATAAAAGTAGTGATAATAAAACAAAAATAACACATTATGCTTTTTATTTACCACAAATAATATTTTGACATCTCTGATTTGCCAAAATTTTAAACCAATTTTAGTTTCACTCATGGTTTAGTTTAATCTTCAACTGCTTGTAGTTTTAACTGTCTTGGATRTTCATAGAAATGGTTTTTACCAGCTTGTAGCCAAGATTCTGATGTTTCTGTAGATACCAAACATGTCTATGTTTAACTAAAATAACTCAGTAATTAAAGTAGAAAACCAGGGGGTTGGACTTAAGAGATGAATGAAYCAATTAGCAGGCCAAACTTTGGTCACTCATGGGCCGGATGTGGCCCCCGGGCCACCAGTTGAATAGCCCTGATTTATAGTATTTATCTCAATCTTTGAAAATCTCTCTAAAAAGCTTTCCAGTCTGATTGTAATGGTCCAGTTTTAGCTTGTCTGCACTGAATTTCTGTCAAATTTAAAAAAGAATTTAAAATCCTAGAAAAGTTCCATATTTTCCCAGAAGATCACATCGCTCTCAGACTGCAGGTTTACTTGTGGTTCCTAGAGTTTCTAAAAATAGAATGAGCGTCAGAGCTTTCAGTTCTCAGGCTCCTCTTTTTGATRAATCCTATGGTTAGGRGAGGCATTGGGTTTCCTCAGGTATCCTGTAGTTCTGCTACTAAAGGCTTWGAACAAACTGACCTCATCTCACTCGCTGCTGTCTTCACTCGCTCTCCTCCATGTCTGAGATGTTATTTATTGCTGCTGTACTTGAGTTTTTCTTCTAATAGATCCTACACCTGGACCAGTTTTATGTTTGTGTCTCTTTCCTGTCCTCTCTGACCCCAGCTGAGGCAGATGGCTGCTCATCCTGAGTCAGGTTCTGATTCTGCTGGAGGTTTCCTGCTGTCAAAATGGGCGTTTACTCTGAAGGAAGATTTGACTCAATCTGTTTGATAATAGCTTTTACTTAAAGACATTAATTTAGTGCATGTGACTATATTGTATCATATTTGAACTGAACTAAAATTAGATTTGTAGCTGCTTTATGTGCTGTGGTTCAGACRATTTGTGGCTGGTTACATGGTTAACATGCTCTGTGTCATTAAAAGGACAAAACATTTCTGTGCTACAAACACATCTGTCCCACTCCTGATTTTAATTTCCACCTCCACATCTGTAATCATTGTTGTGGCTGCAGAGCTGCCTGAACACGAAAACCAGCTCCAAACACATAAAACTACATTAAATTACCACAGGCAACATCTGCTGTCATGTACCCTGTTGGTTCATTTTTCAAAAGCGTTTTGTTTGTGCTAAACCTTCGCACTGTTCTCGATATTCATCTTTATGGGAAATTCCTTCTAAATAATAACTGAAGTTTAGGGGGCACCTGAGGGGTTTTTGGTTGTGTGGGTGGTCTATGTGATTTATTCACTGGAAAAAAAACTAATATAAAATATTTTAGTTWAAAAAATACAATTTGGATGCAAAATAAAGTGTCAGGGGCAATATCTGTGGGTGTTGTTGCAGGACTTTCTGGAAAAGTATGGGTACCTCCACCGTGAGCACCAGATCTACAACTCAGTGGAGATGCAGTCAGCCATCCGGTGAGTGCTTTAATGTGCCAAGTTTAACAATTTCTGGGTGGAGTGGAGAATTTTAATTTTTCGTGTCGTGTTGGAGGAGCTGATTGTGTTTAGTGGTTTTACAATAGTGCGGGGGATGAGCTCAGTGTGGGACAAACCTCGGGGCTGAACGATTGGAAACATCTGAACCACGCTGGAATTTCAGGAAAMTCTTCTCAGTGTCCTGAGTGGAAAACTGTGGTTGCTCTGAATTCTTGAGCAGAGGGTTGGGTTTGTGATCAGATGTGTGAAAAGGCTCATCTCTTTTACCTAGAGTTGCAGTCAGAGGTTTATTTTGATGAGCAAGAATGTCATTAACTTTGGACTTTTAATGATTTATTTCAACAGTTTCTTTTCCAGGGTGGGATTATTAGACATCACCCAACTTCAGTGATATTTAAAAACAACAATTCAACGCTCAAGTTAAAAATGAAAAAGTTTAAAAAGTGGAATCCTGACAGCAAAAAGCCCCAACTTTAGCCAGATGAAATCACGTCTTTACTCAGCAGRCTTCAACAGATTTGTCTTTCTGCAGAGAGTTCCAGAGGCTGTCCAATCTAGCCGTCACAGGGGAGCTGGACAGCGCCACCCTGCAGCAGATGGCGGAGCCCCGCTGTGGTGTGTCGGAYGAAGGCAGCCAGAGGATCTGGACTCGGAGAGTAAATGTGGTCTTTACTGGGAAGAAGCAAGCAAAGCACCGCGGGAGACGATCCAWTGGACAAGGTATTCTCATGGGCTCTGACACGTGAAGACAGGAGTGTCAAACTCTTTTTCACCGAGGGCCACATGAGTGTTATGGTGGTCGTCAAAGGGCCTGTTGTAATTAACTTTGATGTTGACAGAACTGGAAATGTCACATTCCTCATTAACRGTTACTGAACTCTACATGGTATTTCCTGCATAGAAACAGCATTTTAACATATTATGAACACTACGTGTATGACTGACTAAATGTGAAATAAGTAATACAGAAATACTATTAAACATTTTACTCAATCTTCRTCAKCTTGAATTYTGAACTCCCACTTTCCGACAAGGAATTCCCATGCATAATTGACATGCATTATGGGAGATGTAGTTCATGGTCACAGCAGCTTATTTTGAGACATTAAAACAAGATTATTCAACTACATTGATCAGGGGGCCACYGTTACATACTTAAAGCCAACAGTTATGGTGCAGGACAAGTATTATCAATCAATTTACATAGTACATTTAAAAACAACAGTGTTGACCAAAGTGCTTCACATACATACAATTCAATTAAAACCGTGAATTAAATTGAAGAAGTTTAAAAAGACAAAGTTCAAAATTTCTGATGTAACTCATACTGAACTTAAGTTAAAAGCCAGTGTAAAAAAAGTTTTCAAGCGGGATTTAAAAAACCGGACAGACTCTGCAGTACGAATCTCAAGAGGAAAGTTGTTCCGAGGTCTGGGGGGCCGCCACAGCAAAAGCCTGATCCCCTCTACGCTTCCGTTTAGATCTTGGCTGCATTACATTATATTTCACCTTTTTAAATAGTGAAATATATTATTTTGTTGCATTGAATCATAAACATAATTTAGTGTTAAGTTTAATAAGGCGGGTCCCCTTTGTGGGGCTGGACGAAAGGCACCTGCAGGCCACATTTAGCCTGCGGGCCTTGAGTTTGACACATGGACTATAAGCTGCATTTGCATGTTCATATGTGGCCTAAAAACACCACCTAAAACTGGTGTTCAAGGGCTGATATCCTGCATGTTTTATTTGTTTCCCTGCTCCAATGCATCTGATTCAGTGTTTGTTACCTCTTCAAGTTCTGCAGAAGCTTGTTATTCACCCATTTATACAATTCAGGTGTGTTGGAGCAGAGAAACTTCTAAAACATGCATTTTTTTTTACCCTCGAGGACCAGGCTTGGGGAGCTCTGCTTCAGAAAACTAAGTGTTTTCATGAAAAAATGCCTTGACTTGACTTTAGAATATCACAATAAAGTTTGACTCCTCGGAGGCAAAATGTCGACAAACGCAACATAACGCAACACTCAATTAGAAACTTGTACACAGTGTTACAGTTCAGGGCGTGGGGAGAACAACTTGAGGCTGGATCAYAGTAGTAAACACATTGGTATCAAATCCACAACAAGCAGATCCTTAAAAAAAAGAAATTACCCTCTTACTTTTATTTATATTCTCTGCAGAGTCTCAACTTGTTTTGGAAACAGGCTCTTTTCTCTGCCCTGCTGTTTTTTCTGCTTTAACTTTGCAGATAACGTGTCAGTGACGCAGGGCCGTATCTCAGCTTTCCCACAAACAGCTGCATTTAGAAAACATCTGCAGATTTCTGACATTTCCACCGCGCCGTTAGTGGCYGTCACCCTGGCTGCGTGGTCTGGTTGTTCCCCTTTTTCACTTCCCGCAGCAAAAAATGATAAATTATCACAATTTTCTGCTGTTAAAAGTCCAGCTGGATCCTGCCAAATTATTTACAGATTCCTCTGAGAACAAAGTCGCCCTCTCAGAGTTTTGGGTGCTTCGCAGAAAATCTCTGAGAATTACTAAAGGCTGTAATTTTTTCCTGCTGATGAAAACAAGTTTTGCAGTGATGTGAAACTCTCTGCCAGAGTTTTCAGTTCATGATGAGGAACCTGTAAGGCTTCATTAGCATCTATGAAAGGCTGGTGATCACGYAAATGCCTCTGTCTACAACTGAATAATAGAGTCAAAATGCTGTCAGCCTACTGAGACTTAAATATGGCAACAGCTCAATTTTACACATAATTAACTAAAATCTGATGTAGTAGCTGAGAATAATGTAAGACAGCAGGTAATACACGTATTTTAAAGCGTTTAGTTTAAATCTTTAGTTTGACTCTTGAAGAGGTCGTCCTGAAGGAGTTAATTTGATTCACCTTGGATGACTGAAAATCTTCTTTTAAAGGGATCCATGATTAGTTGTAACATTAGACTTTATTTAATAAACATATATTTTAACTGTAAAAATACTGTAGGATATTCAGTTTTTATCATTTTTAAACTATAAGTTGAAAAATATATTACACGGACGGAGCCATTTTATTTACCCGCAAAGCATTCTGGGTAAATGATGACGTGGATAGGTCCTCTGTGTGAGCGAGCTATATCCACCCTGAAGGTTAATCTTGGACRATATCTGATGATCGACTCTTTTAAATGAAACCAGAGAGCGTTGACAGAGAGGAGAAGGTAGAAATGACTCAGCCTGTAACTGAAAATATGGATGGAGGACAAAAGTTTAGCTTGTTTGTCTCGCTAGCGCCGAGCTAATACACATAAGGCAATATAGCATCAGCACTAGCACAACGGCTAACAGGCTAAGCTGAGGTTCTTCTTCCATGAAGCAGCTCTGTTGTCCTCCATCCATATTTTCAGTTACAGACTGAGTCATTTCTACCTTCTCCTCTCTGTCAACGCTCTCTGGTTTCATTTAAAAGAGTCGATCATCAGATATTGTCCAAGATTAACCTTCAGGGTGGATATAGCTCGCTCACCTAGAGGACCTATCCACRTCATCATTTACCCAGAATGCTTTGYRTGTAAATAAAATGTCTCCATCCGTGTTAAAATATATTTTTAAAAATTATAAAAACTAAACAGCCTACAGCATTTTTACAGTCTTTATTTAACAGTTAAAATATGTTTATCAAAATAAAGTCTAATGTTACAACTAATTATGGATCCCTTTTAAAAGTTGCAGAAAGCCAATAACTCTTCATAATTGCCCTTTCATTTGCACACATGTTTTTTATTTAGTCGGTTGCCTCCTTTGCCTCCATCCTGAGAGCTGAAACTGGATTGAAAAGTCTGACTGCAGGGCAATCAGGAGGGAMATAGTTTTGTAGCGTTGCCGTGTTTTTTGGTGTTGTAGCAGCGTTCCGATGACAGCACCGGCAGCTCGTTCGCCTCCGGCCTCGCGGGGTGAGAAGCCTCTGCATTCCTTTATGTCACTGCTGACGCTGGCTAATGTTCGGGGAATGCAGCCATCGCAGCGGAGGCTGGTGTTTTCTGCTACTCTTCATGTCAGTACCTGACGCTCCCTCCGGTGAACACGCACAGCTCACTGAAAGGATTAAGTTCTTTTCCAACTGGTTTGACTCATCAGAGGCCTTTGACTGTACCGACTGAATAAGTGGATAACTTCTGTTCAGGGTTCACGTCCYGTTCTTGTTTAGGAAAACAAACAAAAACATTTTTTTGATTGCAACTTTAATATCAGGCATGATTCATGTGGCAGCAGGCACAGTTACACAAAGTAGCTGCAGCTTTTTACCCCCCAGGTTAAACCTTACAGCTCCAGCTCCACAAACCCTCTGATCTGGTTAAACAGTAACGGTGGTACAGTCACTTTGCTTTGTTTTTCAGAAATACGTTTCAGCTGGTGGCTCAAAGAAACTTTGTTGGAGTATTAGCTTCCGATTCAGATCAGATGTTTTGTCTGAAATGTTCCAAGTTGAAAATAAAACCCGCCGTCTGGACAGGAGCGGGCAGCTGTTTGTTCCTGCACGGCCATGTTGGCTTGACTAAAGCTAGCCTGAAAAAAAAAAAATCATCTTACAAACAGATGCTGGGGAAAACAGCAGTTTTCAAGTCTTTTTTTCTTACTTTTCCAAAGATGAAATTAGCAAAATGAGTCAAAATTTTCTCTTTTCATGCAGTGAAATTTTCTCTGTTTATCAGCCTAATTGATCATAAAAATAAATATTAACTTGTTGTTTTATCATTTGTTTTGAACTCTTTTGTCTTTGGTCTGGTTCWCCCACTGGGCAACTAGTTGAAGACGTAAAATTGTAAGAAAATACTCAAATAGTTTGGAAACAGACAAAACTGCAAATAAATTGCGACAATTTACCCAACACACCTGCAAATTAAATGCTTTTTTGTCACCACAAAGTGTCTTAATGATGTTTCAGTTTGATCCCAGTTTGTTCTGCCTTTTTTTTGAAACCATCACAGTTTTGTCTCACTTTTAATGGCCCACAGAAACTAAACTGGGAAGGGTACAAGATGTTGTGCAGATAAACATGTAGAATTCTAGCAACACAATAACTATGCCTTGTGGGAGACAAGAATGCTTGTGAAACTTCTGAAACATTTTAAAAACTTAAGTATTTAAGTACTTAAGTATTTCTTAAGCCAGGTTCACACCAAACACGTTTTGAGCAGCAAAAACGTTACATTCGGACCAGGACAGAGACTAGACGCGCATCTGAAGAGGGGAGGAGTCTCTTGTTTTTTTCTATCTGACTTTAATGACGGATGAAATAAAGATGAAAATGAAGAAAATGACTTTGCTTTATTTACTGAAAGCAAGCGAACGTTGCGCTCACCAGATAATTTAGAACAGAGGTTCTCAAACTGGGGTCCGCAAGGGGTATCTTGAGGGTCCTCAAAAAAAATGTCACCAAATTGGTAATTTGGTTTTTATTTTTAAAAATGCTTGGAGAACAATGAACGAATCAAACAAACATAACTAACAAAACTAAATTACATATTCTCATGGCATTTAGGGGTTGAAATRACAATAAATTATCTTTTAAAACAGCACGGGGTTTATGAGGGGGTCCCTGGAATTTTTTCACCCTTGTAATGGGTCCCCAGACCCAAATGGCTTGAGAACCCTGATTTAGTCTGTACGGTTAGTTTCACCACACCAGGAGCTTCGAGCTGACAAACTTTTTTGTCCCGAGCCCAGTTTAACGAGCT